TTGTTGTTGTTGTTGTTGTTGTTGTTGTTGTTGTTGTTGTTGTTGTTATTATTATTATCCTATTATAGTCCTGTGCTCCAGCATCAACATGTGGCATGGAGGCTGCACAAAGAAAAGCTTTGCAGAGAGTGGTGAAGGCTGCACAGAAGTCTATTGGAGTCAGTCTCCCCACCATCACAGACATTTACACCTCCAGATACAGGAAGAGGGCCACCTGCATTATGAAGGACCCCACTCACCCAGAACACACAATTTTGCCCCATTCCCTTCATTCAACCTTTATTTAGACAGATAAATCCCTTCAGGAAGGAGGTTGAGGAGCATTAAGTGTAGAACCACTAGACTGAGGAACAGCTTCTACCCTGAGGCTGTTAGACTCATGAAGCTCTAACCAGGATAATCACTGTGAAAAATCACATTATGTTGCTGCTGATCTATTTCATGTTGTTGTGTTCATACTCATCTGCTCACACAGACTCATGTTCATGCTGCTGTTCAGCGTATTATTTTTATGCTACTAGTGCTTAGCGTATTTTTAGTTAACGTTTTTCTTAGTTCATATCCTAGATCTTATTACAGATCTTTCTTTTGCATTTTAATACTTTTGTTGGATGTAACTGGGACCCTGTATGTATAATTTCGTTCCACCACATGTACCACATGTGATGGAATGACAAATAAAGAACCTTGAATCATTAAATCCTTGAACATGCTATTATTGCATACATATATGTTAGACCAATTAGGGGGCCGAGATGGGGTAGAGGTAGGGCAACCAACCGGGTACCAGAAAGTTGCGGTTCGACTCCAAGCATTCCATTCCCACATGTTGCTCCACCTGGGTGTCTCTCACGTGTGATGGGTTAAATGCAGAGAACCAATTTCGCCATGGTATGGGAACATACAGTGATGACAATCTCAAACTTTCCTCCTTTCCCTTTCCTGATTGGTAACTCTAAATTGGGGGAGTGGTGGCGCAGAGGTAAGAGAGGTGGGCCTGAGATCGGAAGATCGCTGGTTCACGCCCGTGAAGCACCCACATTTGCCCCTACCCTCATTCGCCCCACTCTGGGCCCCTTAACTCCCCATCTGCTCCCTAAACAGGTCTCTTTTGAAAATGAGTTCTCATGGCTCAAACTACATGCATAAATAAAGGATAAATTAAATCAATAAATAAATTGTCTCTAGGTGTGAGTAAGAGAGTGAATGGTTGTTTGTCTCATTTGTCTCTATGTGTCCCTGTGATGGTCTGGAGACCTGTCCAGGGTGTCCTCCACCTCTCACACAGTGACTGCTGAACATGGACACAAGTGACCCCTGTAACCTGAAAAGGAAGAAGCGGGTAAAGATAATGGATGGATTCACCGTGGTTCTGTTAGTAAAAAGTTCCACAGTTTTACAAATATTAGTCTTTAAATCAAAAACATAAAATGGATTTTTGGAGTTTATTCTCATTCATCCAGGACATAGCAGACCACAAAAATCAAAACAAAGGACTCTAAAGTCCAGTTGTTTTATTACTCTTCCCTCTTTTATTTTTATTTTTGATTAAATTAAAAACTTGAATAAACAAAATTATGTAAAACTATAAGTGAAAAAAGAGCAGGAAGAAAAAACTCCCATCTGCAAGCTGTGGCCCTGGGATGTTTCAGACCCTCTGCAGTGTTTCTACAGAATTGACCATAAGCCAGACATGGAGAAGCCTTTAAAAGTCTGCTTCCACTTTTCTAAGCAAGTATTGTACATTTAAAATTTCTGGGGGTTTGTTTGTTTTTTTACGTTAGCCACCATAAATCTCATGCTACAGTTCTAAAACGCATACAAATAATACTATTGTATCAATTTCTAATTAGGATTCTTGACCAAAGTGATTTGGAAATTACAGAATGCATTTCCAATGTCTGAAAGTGATTCGGCATTCAGGTATGTGGAATTAACGTCGAGTCTGATCTGCCTGACCCCATAGCCATTGTTTGGCTGATAAAATCTCAGGCAGTGAAGTAAAGCATGTTGCTGCTTCTTGGTGTGGCAGCCTGAGGTGTGAGCTGCTAGCTGCAGGAAATGACTGACTTCTTGTTTGGGAAGTAGTAACCAAATCTTACACATCTGTCTTCCGACCATAAATTGACAAAGTGCATTGTGGAACTATAGCCACTGGAAAAAGTTTAGACTAGTAGGTGTGTGGATGAATTTGTACAGCAAAATTAGTCTGAGCTGCTAGTGAGAAAGACATTTTATCTATAACATATGTACAAACAACCTAAAACAGAATCATGACAGTTGTGATTTATTTACATGTTAGGCAAATTATGAGTTGGACTGACAATAAACTGAACTAGAAGATACTAATTTTTATGTGTTCTCCTCTGGGTGGTGTGAGAATCTTCTGTTTTGTGTGATTCCTTTAGATTCTTCATCAAAGTTCATGCTCAATAATCCAGAAAATCCAACAAAGTTC